TCAAGGTGATGCCCTCGGAAATCGTATTGTGTGAAGAAAGCAGGATCTAGGCGAGCAATACCACTTCTATACGATTTTAAAACATGGTACAGGCCCTAGCCAGTGTGGCTCCGTGGATAGAGCATCGGCCTGCAGACTGGAAGGTCCCAGGTTCGATTCTGGTTAAGGGCATGTACCTTGGTTGCGGGCACATTCCCAGCAGTGGGTGTGTAGGAGGCAGCTGATGGATGATTCTCTCTTATCAATGTTTCTAACTCTCTATCCCTCTCTCTTCCTTTCTCTAAAAAAAAAAAAAAATCAATAAAATATATTTTTAAAAAACGAACATATGGTACAGGCCCTAGCCGGTGTGGTTCAGTGGATAGAGCACCGGCCTGCAGACCGAAGGGTCCCGGGTTCAAATCCGGTCCAGGGCACGTACCTCGGTGGCAGGCTCCTCCCCAGCCCAAGCTCTGCCAACGTCTCCTCTGACTCCCCTGCCACATAAAAGCGGGGTACCGCTACCGATGGTGAAGCAGGGGTGAAGGCACCAGCGAGCAGCTGGAGCCATTGCCTCTGAGAGTCTGGGCGGGGGGGAGCCCAGAGTCCCTGCAGGTGGAACGGATCCACCCTCGGTGGATTCCCTCTCTCTGAGTCAGCACTGCCTTGTGCAGGAGAAAGAAAATGGGGGCGGTTTTCTAAGAAACACAATAGCCCCGGAAGGGTTTGGGGGGGAGGGGACAGAAATCAAGGCCACACAGGGACTGGCAGAGGCAGAAAGTGCCCCCGTCAAGGGGTGAAGGGTGGAGCACTAATGTGGACCCGGGAGGACTGAGCCTGACCACAGGCCTCCACAGGTCCGAGGATGGCGAGGGGCTGGGCATAGGAGCCCAGTCCAGCACGGCTTCCCGGTGGTGCCTTGGCAAACGGGTAAGAGAAGCGCGGTTCCAGTTTCTATAGCAACTGGCTAGCTGCCATGGTTGGGGAGCAGATCCATTAGGGACACCTAGGAAGCAAGGAGGACCTCAGTGGGGTAGCTCTGCCTACAGCGGAGCCCCCATCCTGCCCTCGTGCCAGTCAGCACCTTGCACCGGGCACCTTGAGGGGCACCTCAAGGTGCCGCCTGCAGATCGGAGGGGTGGAGGTTGGGTGCGTAACAGGACTTGCCTAGTCCAACTGGTCAAGGAAAGGAAGACAGGAACTTTTTTTTTTATAATATATATATTTTATTGATTTTTTTACAGAGAGGAAGGGAGAGAGAGAGAAACATCGATGAGAGAGTCATCAATCAGCTGCCTCCTGCACGCCCCCCACTGGGGACGCGCCCGCAACCAAGGTACATGCCCTTGACCGGAATCGAACCCGGGACCCTTCAGTCCACAGGTTGACGCTCTATCCACTGAGCCAAACTGGTTTCAGTGAAAACAGGAACTTTCTAACCCACCAGAGGGCCTGGCCCCTGGACAGCCAGCCAGGCTGGGCCCTCGGTGCCCATGTCTTCCCTGACCCGCCTGTGTCCTCTCGGTCAGCCCTTTTCTACTGTGAAGGCAACCAAGGTCCATGCCCTTGACCGAAATCGAACCCGGGACCTTTCAGTCCACAGGCTGACGCTCTATCCATTGAGCCAAACCGGTTTTGTCTTCAATGCACTTTGAATTTACATTTGTGTAGGATGAAAGGTAGGGTTGATGCTCTTTCTTTCATACCACCTAAAAAAAGCACGCGTGCGCGCGCGCGCACACACACACACACACACACACACTACAATGAACGTGTTCTCTCCCGCACACAGCTTGGCAGAGGTTGAGCAAACACCGTGAGCTCACCTTACCTTGTGGTCTTGAGTTCCTGAGTGAATGCCCCTTTTTCTGATCTTTTTCAACCAGGAAAATTATTTCTCCCAGCAGCCTCTCTTCTCTTCCGCTCTCTGTGAACGCCCTGAACACCTGAGCAGAGAGAACACTCCGGGGTCCCTCCTGTCCCCCCCCAGGACGTGCATGGAACACGCCAGCCAATTAGTTGCATTTAAAACCCGTCTTGTAGCGCTGGGTGTGACGGCAGAGACGGTGCCAGGCATGGCTGGGCTCAAGGGGCTGCTTGTTGACTGGGAGAATGGATAATGCTGCCTGCTTGTTCTTGCTGCTTCTGCCAGTGGCCAGCTGTGGGGACCTGACCCCGTTATTTAATGTCTGCACCTCTGCCACTCTGCACAGCCTGCCCTGCTGGCCGGAGGTACCGTTGTTCCTGTAAACCCTGTGGGCCTGGCCAAGGACTCACACACACCGGAGGCCGTGACTGTACGTGAACTCGGCCACAACTTTCTTTCACTGTCGAGTGAGCCTGGGGTCAGGCGGTACTATGTGTACACAAAAGGTTGCTGTGAGTTTTGTCTTTTTTTTTTTTTTTTAATATACTTTATTGATTTTTTTCATAGAGAGGAAGAGAGAGGGATAGAAAGCCAGAAACATCGATGAGAGAGAAACACTGATCAGCTGCCTCCTGCACACCCCCTACTGGGGATGTGCCCGCAACCAAGGTGCATGCCCTTGACCGGAATCGAACCCGGGACCCTTCAGTCCGAAGGCTGACGCTCTATCCACTGAGCCAAACTGGTTTGGGCCAGTTTTGTCTTTATGTGGTTAAGACTTCAGTCTCTGAAGCCTGAAACCTCACTCTTCCACTTCCAGCCAGGAGTCTGGGCTAGTTAACTTCTCTAAGCCTTAGTTTCCCCGTCTGCAAAATGGGTCGACAGCAACAAAACACTTAGAATTGTGCCAAACACATAGTAAATGCTCAGGAAAGGCCAGCTTATTATTCTATGACTAGTGGCCCTGTGCACAAAATCTATGCACATTAAAAGGGGATTCATTAGAGGAAATCATTTAATATGGCTGTTTGCCTTTTCTCTGATCATAGAAGTGTCAGAGATGAAAGAAATTTAGTAAAATATGTATGAAAACATTGCTCCTGTCAGAGTCTGGGGTGCACCATGGGACCCAGAGTCAAGTCCCCGCCCACCTGCCTCAAAATTGCATGAGACCCAGACCTTGGCGTGCGACACCCCCCCCCCCCCCTGCCACACACACATTGGGCTAGATCCAGATACGGCCAGTTCCACCCAATGTCAAACCCCGCCAGGAAGGAGCATAGCCTCAGGTCCCCTGGCCTGGGGCTGGGGCTATGGCCTGAGGTCCCCTGCCAAGCCCCACTGTGGGGGAAGGGGGAAGTGGGGTACAGTCTGAGGCCCCCCAGCCTGGTGCTGGGGTTAGGGGGTGCTGCCTAAAGTCCCCTATTGAGCCCCACATGTTGGGGGACATGGCATGAGGTTCCCCTGGCCTGGTGCTGGGGCAGAGGAAGCAGCCTGAGGTCCCCTAGCCCAGCACCAGGACCGGAAGCGCACCTTGAGGTCCCCCATCAAGCCCCAACGAGTGGGGAGGCATGGCCTCAGGTCGCCTGGCATTGGGGCGGGGAGTGGGGCCTGAGGTCCCCCAGCCTAACTCCAGGGTCTGGTGAGGCCTGAGGTCCCCTATCAAGCCCCATTGAGCAGGGGAGGGCTTAACCTGAGGTCTCTGCTGATTGCTCTTAAGGCTCCTGATGGGAACTTGGCCTTACATCTTTGTGACAGAGTGATGGTCCATTAGCACGTTCCCTCTTTTATTAGACAGGACGATTAGATTGGACCACGAGGAGGAGGTAACACATGCAAAACACTCAGACACGCTCAACAAACCCCTTTCCTCCTCACTCCGGTCCCTTGTTTCTCCCCTTTGGCTGTTCAACCTTTAGCCTCCAATATCATCTCAAAAGAACGTGATGCAGCCCAAACCGGTGTGGCTCAGTGGATAGAGCGTTGGCCTGCGGACTCAAGGGTCCCAGGTTCGATTCTGATCAAGGGGCATGGACCTTGGTTGCGGGCACATCCCCCGTGGGGGGTGTGCAAGAGGCAGCTGATGGATGATTCTCTCTCATTGATGTTTCTAACTCTCCCTTTCTCTTCCTCTCTGTAAAAAAAAAAAAAAAAATCAATAAAATATATTTTAAAAAATAATAATAAAAAAGAACTTGATGCAGCTATCCTCCCGTTCACAATCCTCAGCAGTTCCCTGCTGCCTGCAGCCTACAGGGGCTTCCCTCCAGCTGCATCAGCACGCGTTCTCCTCCTCGGGGGGGGGGGGGGTCAGAGGGAGCCCCCGGATCACCCCCCTTCTCCCCCTTTACCCAGGGCTCCCCGCCTGGAATGTGGGCCACCCCCTGGCAACCCGCCCCGGCCCCAGCCACCCCGCCCCAGATACCTTTCCCGACCACAGCCGGCCCCCATGGTGGCCTCTCCCCCCCACCTCGGACCCCACCCTGTACCTCCTCCTCCTCCTCCTCCTCCTCCTCCGGGAACCTCCCTGCCGGGGCCCGCAGTCTGGCAGGTCGGAAGCGGTTTCCCAAGGAAGAGCGGCCCCGATCCCCGGAGATCCCTGATCCCCGGAGATCCCCCGAGTCTTTGGAAGTTTCCTGAAGCCCGGCCGCCGCGCCCAGTGGTGCCAGCGCCGGGCGGGCCTCGCCCCAAAGCCAAAGGGGTCCCGGAAGGAGCGCAGCGTGGACGCTGGATACCCCAAGCTTTGCAGCCAAAAAGCATCGCTGCAGCGTCTCAGGGCTCGCCCACCGCGCACCCCCGTTGCAAACGGGTCAACAAGCCGGGCGAGGTGAGCGGACCGGGCCAGGGTGGCTCAGTGAGCGGCGCCCTCGGGTCTGGGGCTGTGGCCTGGGAGGAGAAGGGGGTGTGGGTGTGTGTGGCTGTGGCCGCCCCGGCTCGGCGCCCAAGCCCCGGAGGGGGCGGGGGCGGAGGGTCCGGGCACAGGTGTTCCGCATCCCGCGGGGGCGGGGGGTGCGGAGGCGCCGCGCGGGGCTATATAAGCGGCTGCGGGCGCGGCGCTGCTCGCGGCTTTGCTGCAAATCGTGGAGCGCACGTGCCTGCGCGTTCCTCGCCGCCCCGGCCCGTCCGCCGTCCGCCGCCGGCCCGCACCGGCCCCATGGCGTCCTCGCTGGTAAGAGCCGCCGCCCCGCCGTCTGTCTGTCCGCAACTGGGCCCGGGGCGGGGCCGCCGCAACGAAAGGTCCGTGCGCAGCCTCAGCCCGGCCCGCCGGGGGCCCCCTCCTTCCTGACCCCCGTCCCGGGGCGCGGGGTGCGGGTCACGTGTTCGCGGGCGCGGAGGGCCTCTGCGTCGCGGCGTGAGGGGCGGCGGCGCAAGGGGGTGTGGGGGTGGGGCAGGGCGTCGCCTCGTGACTCAGGGCCTCTGGCTTTAAAGGCGCCGCGGCCCTCTGGGGGCGGCCAGCGGGGCCTCACGCCGGGCGGCCGTGCGTGTCTGTCCAGACGGGAGCCGAGCTCACGGAAGTTAAGTCCCGTCCCCGGACACTGTTTCTTTCCCCTTAGCCGTCGCACGTGAGTCCCGCGCAGCGTTCCCCCCGCCCCGCTTGGTCACGGACGACGTCGTAGTGCCCAGAAAGCGGGCGGGGCTGGTAGCTAGCGGCCTGGGTGTGGTGAACGCTATACGACGGCAGGCAGCGGCGGCGGCGTGGCCCCTTTAAGGCGGAAGGATTGGCCCCCTCGTGCTGCGCGCGCTTCCCGGGCCCGGGAGGTCACGTGGCTTCACACGTTTGAGTGGCGCCGGCGCCGTGCGCTCGCCAGGTGCGTCTCGCGGGGTGGGGAGGCCGAGCACGTGCGGCTCCGCGTCGCGCTGTGGAACCCGCGGCTCGAGGTGGGTCCCGGGGGCGCGGGGACACCTGGGCTGAGGAGGCGGCGGCGGCGCGGGCGTGGCGGGCGTGGCGGGTGTGGCGCCGGCGGGCCGAGAGGCGTGCACATGGCGGTAGCTCCGTCCGTCTGTCCTCCTCAGCCCGGGCCCAGTTCGGGGGGCGGGTCAATGGCGGCGGCCACGGGTTTGACAGACATAGGGGTGTCCCGCGTGTGACCCGCAGGCGGGTGAGGGACACAGGCTGGGGAAGGACGCAGGCTGCACCCCCCGCCCCCCCGTGATTCCCGGGGGGGGGGGGGGTCAGGGCCTCAGACTGAGGGAAGTTCCGAAGGTTGGGCTGTCCGGCCCGGTTGGCATCCGTCTCCGGCTTCTCCCCCCGCGCGTGGGTGTCCTCCCCGGTCAGGCTGACCCTGACCCGCTTGCCGGAGGGCTCAGGCGAGGCCGCATCCTTTTTTTTTTTTTTTTTTTTTAAATATATGTTATTAGCCAAAACCGGTGTGGCTCAGTGGGTAGAGCGCCGGCCTGCGGACTGAAAGGTCCCGAGTTCGATTCCAGTCAAGGGCATGGACCTTGGTTGCGGGCACATCCCCAGTGGGGGCTGTGCAGGAGGCAGCTGGTCGATGTTTCTCTCTCATCGATGTTTCTTATTCTCTATTCCTCTCTCTTCCTCTCTGAAAAAAAATCAATAACATATTTTTTATTTTTTAAAATATATTTTATTTTTATTAGTCATCGACCAGCTGCCTCTTGCATTGCCCGCAACCAAGGTCCATGCCCTTGACCGGAATCGAACCCGGGACCTTTCAGTCCGCAGGCCGGCGCTCTATCCACTGAGCCACACCGGTTTGGGCCAGGCTGCATCCTTGCCAGTGGCCCAGCGCCACCCGAGGGGCCCACCGGGAAAGGCTCTTCCTGCACCGATGGATGCACCTTGCAGGCCTTGCCCCTTCGCACCGTGCCCTGTGGGGGGGATGCCTGCAGCACTGGGGACCCCGGAACCAGCAGCCGTGCTGCCGCCCCCCACCCCACCCCACCCCGCAGCCTGGGCTCCTGGTGGTGCCTCATGCCTTTGGCAACTGCCTCCTCTGTCTCCCTGGCTACCGAGCCAAACAGGCAGAACAAAACCGTGGAAGCGTCGGCGTCGTGGTGGTTCCTGGTCGGCTGGGGCTTATGGGGGTGGAAGGGAATTCTGTTCCCCGAGCTCTGCTCTGTGGGGAGGCCTGCAGGCTCTCGAGGGGTTGCAGGCGCCCTGGTCTCCCGTGCCTCAAGTAGCTTTATTTTTTCTTTTTTTTAAAAAATATTTTTTATTTTTTTACAGAGAGGAAGGAAGAGGGATAGAGAGCTAGAAACATCCATGAGAAACATCGATCAGCTGCCTCCTGCACACCCCCCACCGGGGATGTGCCCGCCACCAAGGTATATGCCCTTGACTGGAATTGAACCTGGGACCCTTCAGTCCACAGGCCAACGCTGTTATCCACTGAGCCACACCGGTTAGGGATTAAATATATATTTGATATATTTTATTGATTTTTTTTATAGACAGGAAGGGAGAGGGATAGAGAGCTAGAAACATTGATGAGAGAAACACAGATCAGCTGCCTCTTGCACACCCCCCATTGGGGATGTGTCTGCAACCAAGGTCCATGCCCTTGACCGGAATCGAACCTGGGACCCTTCAGTCCGCAGCCCGATGTTCCATCCACTGAGCCACACCAGCCTCAGCTCAAGGAGCTTTCTTTGCAGCGCCCCTTGGGTTTGTTCTGGTCACGGTGACCTCCCTGGCACTCAGGCAGCCTGGCTGTGCACGCCTGCCTGCACAGAACTAGGATTCGGGCCTTGACAGTCCTGCGTGTAAGGCCACCCTCGGAGCCCCCCCCTTCTCGCTGGCATTGTCCTGTCCTGTGGCCATCGCTCTGGGCCAGGCTCCCCAGCTGGAAGGGCAGCAGGGCCTGCTGGAGCGCTGGACGTGGGTTGGTTCTCTGGTCCCCTTCACGGGGGACACACCCCCCTCCCAGTGTCCCCAGGCTCGGAGGAAGGGGATCAAGGTGGGAAGACTCTAGGCTCAACACCAAGCTTGCCAACGAGCTAAAGCTCTCCAGCTGTTTATTTTGCTGTAAATCCTTAAAAACGGCTTGCCAACCCAATCCCTGCAGGGGCCTGAGGTAACAGCTTACAGGACCAGATGGGGGGGCGGGGGCAGGAAGAGTGGCCGGCTGGAGGGAGCCGCCAGGAGCGGGTGTTGGGGTGTCGCCGTGCAGAAGTGGGGCCCAGAGTTGATGAAAATTTGGCTTTTTCCCTAGTTAAGCTCCTCCCCTCCCACCTCAATGAGGCGATTTAAAAAAAAGTGTAGCCCTGACGGTTTGGCTCAGTGGGTGGAGCATTAATCTGTGAACTCGAGGGTCCCAGTTCGATTCCAATCAGGGCTGTGTACCTTGGTTGCTGGTTGAAGACACATCCCCAGTGGGGGGTGTGCAGGAGGCAGCTGATCGATGTTTCTCTCTCATTGATGTTTCTGACTCTCTCTCTCCCTTCCTCTCTGTAAAAAATCAATAAAATATATATATTTTTAAAAAGTGTAGCCCTAGCTGATTTGGCTCAGTGGATAGAGCGTCAGCCTGCAGACTGAAGGGTCCTGGGTTCGATTCCAGTCAAGGGCATGTGCTTGATCTCCAGTAGGGGGCAGCCGATCAACGATTCTCTCTCATCATTGACGTTTCTCTCTCTCTCTCCCTCCCTTCTTCCTCTCTGAAAGCAATAAAAAATATATATATATATTTAAAAAGTGCAAGCCTTGTATGGATCAGAGGTTAACATATCTCTCAAGACTGGCCACCTGAGGGGTAAACCTAGGTCTTTCTGGTGCCGTGGCTCAGCCTGGGACACTATTCTGGGAGTCAGAGGGGTCAGGGTTGGTGGGCAGTGGTCTGTGGGCTGGTCGCAGGTTGGAACCCGCTGCATGGGAGGCACTGGTGGCGGGAGGCACGTGGGTCCTCTGGGCATTGGGGTGGCAGTGTTGGCCGCAGAGGAATGTGCTGTGTCCATCATTCCACGGCGTGTGTATGAGAGCCAGCGGCAGGACTCCTCCCACACTAGGGGGGTGACCCTCCCAGCCTCTGCGCCAAAGACGGGTCTTTTTCAGGACCGTTTTGGCAACTTTTTTTTTCTTCTGAGACAAGGCACATTTGAAATTACATAACTGTTTTAAGACCCATCGAGGTAGAATGGGGTTTATTACATCTCACTTCTTCTGCCTTCGCAGAAACTCCCCTAATCCTGTTTCTTAGATTTCCAGGAAGAGTGAATAAGGGTTTTAGCAGCATCCGATAAAGTCTGGGGTGAGCCCCCAGGGCATCCAAAAGCCTTTCGCCAGAAACGAGGATCTGGACCGTCATTCCGGGCAGAATTTAGCGTCCCAACAGTGCACACAGTCACGCTAGCACATGTACAGGGACGTATACCGTTATTTCTGTATCTTATTCCCAAAGGAGTTAAAGCATAGAGTCGGTAAAGAGCATATACAGAGCCGTTGCCAAAGTGGTTTCTCTGAGAATGCAGACTCATACAAAGGAGAGGGTTTTTTTTGTGTGTGTGTTTTGTTTTTGTTTTTGTTTTACCTGCGGTCAGGGAGGTTTGGGGAAAGATGGAACTTTATAATGTTACCTGTCGCAGAAACTGATTTGGCTCAGTGGATGGAGCGTCGGCCTGCGGACTGAAGGGTCCCGGGTTCGATTCCGGTCAGGGGCATGTATCTTGGATGCAGGCACATCCCCAGTAGGGGTGTGCAGGAGGCAGCTGGTCAATGTTTCTCTCCCATCGATGTTTCTAGCTCTCTATCCCTCTTTCTTCCTCTCTGCAAAAAAATCAATAAAATATATATTTTTTAAAAAATGTTACCTGTTCCCAGTTGCTTCTGAAGCAACCTTTAGAGGCCAAGCCCCCCAGCTATGAGCCCAGTGTTTGGGAGTTTGAAGGTGGAGGAGCAGGGTGGTTGGTTACAGGAGCTCTCCACTGGTATTTTAATGCTTTCTGTGCTAGGTCAATGGTCTGCAAACTGCAGCTCGCGAGCCTCGGTTTGCCGCTGTGTGGACTAATGAGTTTGCCGACCACTGCTGTAAGGCATTACCCTTACCCAGAAGTTTTGACTTGAGGTTAAAGACATCAGTACATTATTAAAATGTTTTTAAGTGTTTTTCCCTAAGTCAGTGGTCGGCAAATTCATTATTCAACAGAGCAATGAGCCGCAGTTTGCTGACCACTGTAGGGTAGTATCTGTGCAAACTTTCTCATTCATTG